AAAAAAAAAAAAAACCCTGACCTTTTTTAACCTACTCTTAGACATTTTATTTCTGTTTGAATTATTTACAATTTTTCAGGTATTTCTCCCCTCTTTTTGCCGTGTCTTACTCGCAAAAGTAAGTGAACCTTTCTGTAGCGCATTTGATATTTTCATAATAGACTGTTATAGAGAATTGGGAAAAATACTTTTAATCTTTATGTCTTTCTGCACTAAATACAATATTTTTATGCTTCAAAGAGGTGGGATGTTGGGATGTTTCTACACAAATACATGAGGATCAGTGAAATTGTCACTTTCAACTAATTGGGCGCGTCATACTTTCTTCCGCTTTTTCTTTTTTTTCACATAGTAAAACCGTTGCTGCTTCCTGGATCGTTCCAGTTTTTTCTGTTTTTTTAAGAACAGCATAAAGTAAAACGTGAATGGAGAAACATTGGGACGTTTTCGTCTGAAGAAGTGATGAATGAAGTTCGGAAACGAGAAAGAGTTGCTAAACGGAAAACTGTGGTACAAATAAATGGAACCAAGGTGTTTTATCGTTGCAACAATTGGCGTAGAACTAATTGTAACTTTCGCATGCATGCTATTATTCATGCTCCAGACAAAATAACACTTTATGCGAGTGGGGAACACGATCATACAGTCAAGAATCCTAACTGTTTGCAGAAACCTGGCAAGTTTCAATACTAAATATGATTTTTGTCATACTTTTGTTCGTCTTATTTGCGTTTGATGACAGATTCACAAAAGATTCCTTTTGGAGTTACAGGTTTCTGAACTATATAAATCATTGTGAGATGTTTCTGCGATTTATCACTTGAATTAATTAGCTCTTGCCATTCAAATTTTTTCCGATAAAACTTGTTTATTTTAGCGTCTTCGTTAATGTACGATATTCCACCATGTTCGTCTCAACAACAAATACTGAATCAATTTATTGCCAATGCTACGGCCAATTCATCGCATTTACTGGAATCAAATGATCAAGAAAACACCTATGAAGAGGTTTATATCATAATTTTTTAATTAAAAATTTTGAAAAAAACAGCAGATTTTTTAATTTCCTTATTTGGAGAGGATCATTGATTAACGGCAGTTTTTGCATTGAACATAACTGTAAACGTAGCATATCGGATGGCTAAGAATGTTAGTTGACTTATTGAATGAGGAGAAGATTTTTCATTTGCGGTTGATTATGATGGTTAAGGAAGCGAACAGTCAACAGAAAGGGAAATTTGTTTTTTTAGTGTAGACATTTGTTGATTTGTTGCTTTGAAAATTATTTTTCTAATGGGATTGAAATAGGCTACTGATTGAACTTAATATCTTTTTCAATAGTAGAATGGAGAACGAAACGATTTCAAGGAAGCAACTTACCAGTTAAGTGATGGACAAAGAATTGCTGCTTTACTACAAGTTGCTGCAGAACTGGGCCATTCATTCAAGTTTAATTCTAGAAGGTAATTTGATTATTAGTACGTAAATTCGGTGATCTAAAACTGAGGTAATATAACAGTTTAGTTTTTGTTTTTGTCAAATAAATATAAAATAACCCGTTTTTACATAAGACAGTAGGGTTTGGAAAGGACACCAGTGTCTGATCTCTGTAGAAATATTTCTATTTAGGTGTTCAGTTTATAAATGCAGATTAAAGTATATGCTCAAAAATAAAATAATATTTTATAAATATTTATTTTTTACTTGATTAGCATTTTTAATCTACGATTGTTGACACATACATATTGAGTATTTTTGCAGCACTGGAGAATATTGTATAGAGTCGAACAAACCTGTAGCCAAGGGAAAAATGCTTGTTTTCGTTGATCATGGCACATTTGTTTCTGTTACAGAAAGAATAGGAGGATTCGATGCTAAGTGTGTCTTTTTGCAATGTTTCTTTTTTTGATTTGCAGTTGAATGTTTGGTACTTGAAAGTTGTTTCTTGGTTTTAAGTTATCTGAGAAAGGAATTTTGGCTGTTGTTGACAGTAGAAGTTAAAAAAATGGAACTATTGTAGGTGTGAAACTTGGAAGAAAGCTGACTGGCAACAATTTTTGTACGCAGTCAGGGGTAAATGTCGAGCTGTACTCTACTGAGTGCTATGGGATGCTATCTGAACACCTGTTCTTGTATATATGCCACGGATTGTTGTTTTATTTATTACAGAAGTAATCTTGTAAAATATCTTTCATTTTTCTGCGCTTTTTTTGGTTCAATGTAAAACGACAGTTGTACGCATTAGTTGTTTTATAAATCTCTGTTCTCACTTCTCTCCTTCTGATCTTTATCTTCTAAAACCGAACGAAAGGAAAAGTAAACAGAAAGAAAAAAATTTCGGCCAATAAGTTGTGTCAAATAACTTCTTTGTATCAGTTTATTCATTAATTTGACTTTAAAAAATTTCTTCTGTGTGAAATAAATGTCCGGTTAAATTGGAAACTTAAAACTTTTTTTGTGCCTCATTGTACAAAACAATTTTTTTAGCATAGCTTCATCTTAAAAGAACTTCGGCATTTTGATTTTAGAATGAGTACAAATTGGAATACTAGAGTATTGAATTATACAGTTTTTTGGTGCGCTTAATTTTTAGTTTACGCTTAAATTCACTACTGTAGCTGGATTAATTTGAGGCGTGTCAGGCATCTTTCACGAGAAAAATGGGGAGGGGATTTGTAGGGTAGAAGCGAAACAAGCTAATTTTCCAAAGAATTGATGGAAAATATGTAAATTTTTTTTGTAAAATGTTTCGCATTTTTCATTTTCAAGTTACCGTGAAACTTCTGCAATATTTATAAAGTTTTTCGAAGAAACATTTTTTGTCATGACGAAACTGCATATTTGTCCGGTTTGCGGATTCAAGTTGGTATAATTTGTAAAGTGTGGAATTTAGTATTAAAAGCTATGCTGTTTTCCAAAAAACCCGCACGTAATAAGTTACAAAATTCCACTACTCTTAAACTGCTATTGAAAATGCACTTACACGAAAAACTTTACGAACATTTTGACAACGATTTGCAGCAGTGGCGCTGACACATGACGAAAGTAGGGCGTATCACAAAGAAAGAGTCGCAGTTGG